TTAACGTTGATGTTCAGTGTTACGAATGAATTGGTAATGTTTCTTATTCCATATAGATGAATTCATAGCCCAGTGTGAGTAGAAAGAAAATTGATGGTGTTAAGTCTAACAAAGCTGCTATGCTTTCTTTCTTTAGGTTTTATATTAATCTATTTTGCACAATGTATTACGCGTATTTAAAATATTCTTTAGCATTTAAAATCCTGAAATATTTGCTTTAACCTACAGTAAAACAGAATATTCTATTGTCCAATGTTTTTTCATTGTTAACGTTTACATGTTATGCTAAGCTTCGAAGTTCCAGCTAAAGTACAAATGTCTATGATCCATCAGTGTTTTTTCTTCGCTACTTCGTTTTAAAAATGGATGTTCCGTATACTCGAGCGCTCTAAGAAAAGGGACTGTAACAACGCAAACGTTACGTCATCGTAAACTTTACCCAAATTTACATTTTAAGAGAATATTACGCATTGTAATTACCACGAAAAAGGCGTTTTAAGTATTAACTGTAACAATGTATTGGTATTTTAAATGTGAGTAGGTTTTTTTGTAGAAGTTTTTGTGTGTTTAATTATTTAAAACTTACAAATAATACGAGGACGAAACAAATTGAGGATGATTCTTATATTTATGTTATGGTTTATAATGAAATTATATTTCAATAATGAAATGTCCATTCAATTAGCATTCATGTTATAAAACAATACATTTATTTCTACTACATTAATGTGGTTATTGTTGTCTAGATACCTAAAAACACTATATATAGGAGATCCTCCATTAAAACTTTTAGTTATGTTTTTATCAATACTATCTATCTCAGTATGACTGAAATCCTAACGACATTAAAATCACCGTTAAAATTATCAGTCGCATTAAAAGCTAGTAGTAAAAAGACGTTCCGATAAAACTGTTGGAGTAAATTGTGTGCGACAAACGAGCTATCGGTCGCGGCGGAGATGCCCGATAACGCACTCTGTTTCTTGCTAATCGACCTCTAGATAAGGCACGTTTTATTTTCTCAATCGAACTTTTAACAGACTATCTGAATACCCTGAAATGTAGCGCAAGGGAAATTCATCCTTGTTGTGTAATAGTTCGAGGTCAAATTGGTTTGAATGTGTGAAATGCTTGGTCGATTGTGCGTGAAGGATTTTTTGTTAGGTCGAAATGTATTAGAAGCGTTGCACGGCGGTCGTTTTGGGTGCACAGCTGCACAACATCCGCCGCGTCGTTGTGTGCGTACACAAGTGCGTTTTTGTGCTATATACTTGTGTATCGACTTCTGAATAATGTAACGGGTATTGTGCTAAGCTAATGGTATTTGCTTGTTTGATGAGGGTTGCTCGAACTTTTTAAGTTGTTCACTCGATGAAATATCGTTTACGAAAATAGGTTCCAACTGCTCAATTCGAAGTTTGGAATACATAGACAAGCGGAAATTGACTTTACATTTTTTGTGAATAAAGACGTGCGGGTGTGGCCGATTTACAATTGGAATACACTAGCTTCCAGGGTCACTAAATCTGTACAAGAAGCAATAATAATATCTGTTTATGAAATTTCCAATATTTTGCCAGTTATAATTTTTCTAGCTTCTTAAAACAGTTCAATATGATTACTAGTCTCGTCCACATTATCGAAATCTACGCAACGTAATGTATAATTCCCCGTATAAACATTCAATAACTAAATATTATTTATACGTTCCACCAACCTTAGTCCATCTTCAGTCACTTTGTCTATCTGAATTTTCAAAATATTATAAATTTTGTATAACGTTTCTTTATCGTTATTATGGAAACGTCTGCTCTTTATTAATGTGAATAAAGTGAAATTAAGTGTTGTTTTTGTCATAAAGGTGAGTGAGCCGTGAGGCGCTCGTAACTGTTAATAATTTGACTTTAATTACTTTCTCTGTGGCCCGGGATAATAAAAATGGAATCGATTCACTACGACCCGCTGACTCTAAACGAGTAATCTCTTTAGAAATGTCATTAAATGTTTAAATTGATGAGTAATTGACTAGTAATCAGTAAGTTGGATAAATTATTTTTTTCGTAAATTTTAAAATAGAATTTAAAGGCAGTTAAAAGTCTAACACGGAATTCGAGCTTAGGGTTTTTAATTTCAAATTATATTGCGCGATTGAAGATTTTGCTACACAAAAAAAACGTTTATGTATCTGTGTGTGTAACTGGAAATATAAACTCACAAAATAAAATAAAACAAGATTATTTTGTCTTACAATTTTTAATTAATATCGTCTTTGACATGACAGTCTATCATATACCGAAACCGCTTAATTAACGCAGCTCACGGGTTTTAGGAAAATTCTGTACATCGTACCGTAGGGAAACAACGCAGCAAGGGGTGGCCGGGGGCAGAATCTCGGCCCCTCAGTAAATAATTACCGCGCCGGTCGTAGGGGCGCATCCCTATAGCGGGATTCGGCTAGGCTTCGCTCCTTTGATTTCACGGTTTGGCCATTTGTTGTCACGTTTCTTTTGTTTTCTTCTAACAATCAATAACTTTAGCTCTTACATCTTACGTGATATTTGTATAAGATCTGTGGTGCAATTGGAAAATAGAAAGTGATAAATCAAACATTGGTCTTGGCTAATTATTAAAGTCCTAAACATTGCTTATCGTCTAAATGCAGCCTCCAACATGCTTAAGGCGAATTTGTTTATTAAGGCTAATTTAATCTATTGGTTACTGTTTAGAATTATTTAGCAGAATGATTCTCCATAATTATTACTTTTACGATACTAATGCAATCAGCATTTGATTGCAGACCCGCAACCATAATTCCCGTAATCAGACTGGTTTATCTCTTATATTGTCCCTAATTATATTCCTCAAAATACACGTGGACGGTCTCGATTACGTTAATCAAAGCTCTGACTAACAGTGATCACCATACACAAACTGTGTCACGTGATGCGCCTACATTTTTAAGCAGCGATTGCAAACTGAGCTCTAAGGTGAACGTCAACTGCTGATTGTCAACGACGAACACTTCAATCTTTCGATATCGAATACTTGAAACTGTGTATGGCGGCTTTAAATGAACCTAGTGAGCTATTCTTAAGTCTTGTGGTCGGTATGGTATTGAGATACCGAACCAATGCGCACTACGTGACCGACATTTTAATTTCCTTCATATTTATTGGTCTACGCTGTTTTTTTTCCAATTTTGCTACATTGAAAAATAAAATCTAGGAATAACGTTCGCGCTAAAAGTAAATAAGTACTCTTCATTTTAGTTGCTACGAACGCCATCTGTAAACCACCAACGTTAACTAGCTTATTCCAATCTGGACGTAGGTTTCAGTAATACTTAAATTTGTACATATTTAATTGAATTGAGTTTCATGAAAGGGACTTTTTATTTCGCATGTTTTGTTACAAACGAAGATTAACCAACCACAAATAATTAGAAGCGACACGACAGTCCTTTTTATTGTAATTTATGTATACAGTAGCTATCTTCATATATTTATTTCAACAAATATGTTGTTTCTCAAGTTTATGCGCCAATTTCACGACGTTCAGCCATCTTGAGAAAATGGCATGTGACGTCACCGCACTATAAATTGCACGTCTACAAATAACTTGTGCTTTACGTGCGGAAAGGTTCAACTTTGTAGGTCAACGAGGGCTTTCTCAAGTGCCCCGAGAGACGGCACATGTAGGCCTGTAGAGTTGTATGTATGTTGTGTGTATGACACGTCGTGTCCAGCACTAATGTATGTTTGAGAATATGATGGGGGGGATGCACATTGCATCCAGCTCCGTGTACCTTTGACAGATGATCTGAATAATTCCAGGTTGATTTTGAATGTAATTACATTATCTTTTTGTATTTATTTGTTATTCAGTGTCGAGAAACCTATACTAAAACATCTATTTTTATATCACGGTTATGGCTTTCGCAGAAAACTGGATTATTTGTTAAAATGAAGCGTCAGATAATTTTTCATATTGTATTTTACATAATATTTCCTCATGTAACATGTTTTCAAGTAATGTAGCAATTTATATAAATGTACCTGAAATAAAACAGAAAAAATGCTTTCAAACTTATCAACTCGAATCTCGGATATTGGAAGTCGGCACCCAGGGGACGATCCTGGAACACGCAATTTTCTTAAACCAACCTCACTAAATTGACTCGAGAAATAACTCGCGGTGTAACCTAATTTATGTTTTCTAAGTTATAAAGAGTAAAGAAATTGGCACTATCGATTGATCGAATTTCTCAAAGATGCTAACATCCGAAATAAGATTCATTCTTTGTTAACCAACAAAAATCTTGAAATAACATAACAATCCAAATTAGGTAAAGATTATAAGCGTAAATGGCACCCGAAGACGGTTAGTAATATTTGGTATTTGATTTCTTACTATTACCTAGGAAAAGTATTGTATTGAACCATTGTGTACGAAAAAAGGCATAGACAAGCCCACCGCTGCCTCGGTATAATTTTGCGTATTTCAAATATCCCTTGGCCGACACGGTCTGCGTGTCCTGTAATTTTGTTAATGGCTTGCGGGGGCGCTCCGGCGCATATTCGCTGGAGATAAACGTGATAACGGAGACGATTGCCGGGACGCGGTATTCAGCCTCCGTGCTCTCGCTGCCTTTAAGCCGAAGGGAGGTAGGGGAGAAATTCCCTTTG